CAACTTCCAAAACAAAATACTAGTTTTCGTACATAGTACGTCATTTATATCGTATAAAATTGCGTTCACGCAAAACTCGACGATTCACCTCGATTTCGATGCTAATAATTCTCTTATCTAATATAACATTCGACTATTCCGTTACGGACGATAATAATAAAACGATCAACGAAGCGAAATACTTGGAGAGAATTGAATCAGAGAGAGAGAAAAATAGATAAACCGTACAGAGTAAAAATTACGTCTAACGTGGGTGTGTACCGAAAATAATAATTATCGTTGAAAGTCATATAAGCAGTCGAATTCCTCGGACACTTATCATTTATGCAAAGAATAAATAACATCTGGCAAACACGCTACTAAAGAAACATGCAATGTCTCGGTTGCCGAGTTTTTTTAGCTTTCAGTCGGAACATTGAATGGAATCTTTAATTGCGATATATGACGCGTCAATATGAAAATAATCCGGCCGTACGCGATCCTTAAGGACAACAACGCCCTTCGAAATTAAAATCAATCGTTCGATCGACACGAGAATCTTTCTGTTAAACAGAAATCGAACGAGTCCCTCGACTGGCTCTCGCGCTATAATACAATTCTTTTTTTTTTTCTTCAAAGACTCGGCCTACGAACAAAACTGCCCCGTCGGATTTGGGGGAGGAAACAGAAAACAGGTGCGCGATGTGTACATCGAAAGTTCGTGTGTTTTCTTTTCTAATTTTCTTTTTCTTTTCTTAACGAAAACAAAAAGAATCATCCGTTAGATCGCGTCCTCTAATCGGGATCGTTACTCGAACACGGTTAACGCTGTGTGTGTGTTTGATTTAAAATATCTACGTTTTCCAAGCGACATCGATTCGATCTACGGTACATGTACAACGTTGCTCACCGCCGAACGGTAAAAGTAAGAGTCAATGCATTTCAATGTGGTCGAATGCTTGGCATTTCATGCTGGCATAACAAAAAGCTAATAGTACAAAATGTTTATCTTCATCGTAAACTTGTAAAGCTTGAATGCCAGTTCAGAGAACTGAAAGTAATTTTAAGTACAAAGCTATAAACAAAACGTGTGTGTGTGTGTGTGTGTGTGTGTGTGTGTGTGTGTCTGCTTGTGTGGATGTGTGGTACGTGTGTATATACATCCACGTGTATATGTATATACGTACACATATGAATATATGTATATATATGTATATATATATGCACACACGTGAAACAGTTACTATTTACTATGTGTCTAAGGTAGCTGAACGTACGAGTGCCGAAGAACATTTGACGTTACTAGTGCTTTGTCGATGGCTACTTCTACTTTTTTCCCCTCGCGAGAGTAAACCTTTTGCAGTTTCTCTGAGACTAGCTCTTTGGTGGGTACTAACGTGTGTACGGCTACTGCTATGTGTAAGGGGATGGTGATTCACCACCAGAGATGCAGAGGACTCACCAAATTCCCCATCTTCATCTCCGGTTGTATCCCCAGTCGTGTCACATTCGCTGCTGTCCACTTCACTCGATTCACTGGGAGTTTCTTGTCCTCCCATCCCTATTCGTATACCCTCCCCTGTTCTGTTTGCCGTTGCTGGCACAGTTTGGGACATACTACCGCCCACTCGATGCATAAATAAGCTAACCTGCAACATTCGAGCGATCCGAATAAAGTATTCGCACGCATCATCTATTTGGTGGATATATGTGTATCCAATAAAAGAGAACAATTGAACATCGGAACGTACTTTAAAGTCCGCACTGTAAGCTTTGTGATGTTTATCCTTATGTGCGTTATCCAAACCCCATTTATCTATACTTAAGACGAGTGTAGCTGGCATAGGTCCGAGGCTTGCCAATGATCCGGTTCTAGGCTTCACGTGCGGCATTACCATTGGCAACTCCATAGTCGTGCCATCGCAACTCAATGCCCTTGTCGATCGATCGATCGGTAACTCTCCGTTATCGTATTCTGGCGTAAAGCAGTCCCGTACAAAGAATGTATTGAACCAGAAATGAAACAATTTCTCCTACAGATAAAACAAAGGAATCGGCTGTTTGTCGTTCCAATGTGGCGGTACGTAATTGAAATATATAGAGACAACTACCTTTCGCTTCATTTTTGGTCTATTAAAAAAATCCACTCGTACGTCCCCTGTTAACGCGACGCTATGTTTCAAGGGGATACAGACAGTCGATATTCCTTTTCGTACTTCTACTATATCCGAACTGAATATCCTCTCTTTCGATTCGGATATCACACAATGCAAATCTAAAACACAAGACTACACGTTATCATATCTTGTATTATTTCTCGTCCAGTTTCTAGGGGTAACTAATACGTTCAGTCATGTGTAAACTTACATCCCTGACCTCCGTGAAATATAGGTGCTGGATCTAATTCTATTTTCCGCAACAACAACTTCACCGGTTGATAGTTCAAACCGTCCTTTACAAGAGTGGCATAATAATCGACGTACCTTCTCTGGGAAGGTATCGTTACCCCCTTCCTGAGCAACGAATAACGGAAGTAAATTCTTTTTTTTTTTTTCTATGCAAACGAGAGATAACATTTACCAAACGTTGTTACCATAATTACCTATCGTGCGTCCTTTTAGTTCCATAATAATTAAGAGCTTCTGTGGCTGTGTGAAATTGTTTGGTGTGAAGAAGGTAACAACAAACCATTACGCCTGTTCGACCTTTACCCGCTTTACAGTGAACTACAGCTACGTTTTCTTGGTGCTCGGAAAGCCATTGGTGGACGTCATCGCAAAATGGTTTTATTTGATCCAGCATCGGTGGATTGTGATCATCGAATGCATAAGTAGCTACCCGTTGTTTAAACTTTTTAAAGTCGTACGTCCTCTCTGAACAGCTGAAAGTCACTTTATCATTTCAATTGTTCTATTCGATCGTACGAGCGTAATGCAAAACTCGAAACTTACAGATTGTAAATCTTATAATGGTCTTTATGCCTGGACTCCAGGAATTTAACAACATCGTCAATATGATTTCTATAAACCCCTTCTAATTTTTCAGCGGGGAAACCCATTGCTATCAAGTTATCCCTGATATCTGTCGTCGGTAGTAAACAATTAAGGAATGCACAAATAAAACAGTTATGCTATAAATTTAAAACAGTTTTCGAACTATTGATTGTTATAATGAAAAGGATACATGTGAGATCAAGATCAAAACCATCTTCTGTAAACCGTTTGCGACGTTTGCTCACGAGTCCCTTGATGCGGTTGGTCATTTTCATATTACTGATAGTATTGGCCATGCTCGAATGACTCTGTTTTAAATCTTCTGCCTCGAGTCTAAAAAGTTCAGTCTCCGCTTCTTCTTCACTACACCTTTCTTCTGCTTCCTGCTTTTCAAATAACTTTTTAGCCTGAATAAAACAAGGTATTTACCAATTATCTTATCCGTTGCTTTCGAATTGCATAATTAATAGAGTTTAATGTACCTGTGGCTTACGAGCCGAGGCGTCACAAGAGCCCAGTTTTGGTCCTCTTTGTTCCTCCAGACAAACATGGAGGGGTGTTACTGGGGCTGAGATGTGCTCTGAGATTTTATTATTTAGCCTGCTGCCTGTAGGTCTCCTGCAGGAAAAGCATACACCCATCAATTCCCAGAGCATCTGTGTCTTGTATTATCCATTTCATCAGGCTTTTCTTTTTTCTGTTCGATAATTTGCCAGTAGATTACAGTTCGGCATTAGTATCACCATGGCAATCACCAACAGTTCAATGCAACTATTAATATATAATGCACATAAAAACAGCCATGGTAAGGTCTTAACACACTGCACGTTGTGATATATAAACAAACACCATATGCACGTATGCTGGAGTTTAATAACCGATCATTATGAACTTCCACAGAAATCTTGGAAGTGCTAAGAAAGGCAGATGTGATATATTTTCACGCACCATTTAATCTACTCCTTGGAACATAAAGTACTCTAAGCTTTAAGATTGCTTGTCGTTTGGACCAATGTGAAACAAAAGGACATTGACAAACAGTCAACAAATGTAACAGATGTAACGCGAATACGAACAACAATAGACTCTACAAATATTTCTGCAACGAATAATACATTGTACGCAAACACTGGCAGGTGGCAAAAAAATCACGATCAAGGTGAGGAGGGAAAAAAATGAAAATAAACGTACATATCGATTTGAATGTAAACGTTAAATGCAATGTTGTTAAAAAAGTGTTTATACGAGTACTGTGAAAACTGTTCCTATCGTTCAAAGGTGAAATTGAAATAAAAGAAGAAACGTGCCAGTATTAATTTGAATGTTTCACAAATTTACTACCGTCTGAAACCTCGGGTTTTCGATACTATTAAAAAAAAAAATTTATATATACATGTACACATATACATACACATATACATATATATATGTATTCATATATACATATATAACAATGTTGAAGGAACAATCGCAGTAAAAACGTAAAAGAAGAAAAACAGGAAAGAAAATAAACAACAATTTTCCTTAATACATGTTCACTTGGTTACGAGTACATTATCGAAAGAACATTACTCGCAAGAAAACGCCGTGTAGAAGCGTCGAAGAAAAGTTAGGTTAAGCACCGTTTGTAGAACACCACAGAGGCCACTTAACATCACATTTTCATGCCAGTTTCACTGATACACCGTTCGCGGTCTTCTTAATCAAGAGTTCGCATGACATTTGCGGGTAATCTGCTCGAGATTTCAAATGAGCTGCTCGAGACACCATAATACATTCGTAACATAAAGAACCGATCTTTCCTTGTAGTATGTAACAGAAAATTCAGAGCAATACTTTTGGAGCATGTTCAACTGCGGTTCAACACAGCGGCACTCCCAATTACGGTGAATTTCTAAGAAATAATAATAATATCCAGAAGAGATTCTGAGGAAACCCATAGAGTTTGTTCTGTCTAACTTGTTTGGAATCGGCAACCTTTCGTTCGATCACTTTAGATGAAAAGTAAACTCGATAACAGACCTCCATTCATAGTATGATCACGTTCCCGTGGTACAATCGTGTCATCGTGTCAAAGCAATAACTCGGGGTTGATCCATCGTTCTATCGCGAGAGTGAAACGGTCTGCGGAGAGGTGATCCGTCGAGATGCATGGAACCCGTACGGATTCGCATACACGCTCGGAGGGGAAAAAAAACAACAGCAATCCCTACGTTATTCCCTTGGTTTGATAACGTAGGTAGAAGCGTAGCACGTAGGTATATAGGTATACGCATACGCGATACGCACACTCACCAACAATGCATAGAATCATGCACCGCAGGTGTTGCAGAGAACAGTCCACTCTGCGAACGAACGCCACGATGCTCTATGCAGGATTTTACGGATGATCGTACCGGAATCCGGCTGCTGCCGTCGTTCTTCTTTTCGTGTTTGCTCGCATTTCTTCGACGAAAGGCCGACCGAACGGAAATCGACCAGGGAAATTAGCAGTAGCCGTGTTTGATTAGCGAACGTGTATACTCTTTGCAAACATCCATTTCGAGCACAATTCCCATCCGATATGAAATCGAAAGTGTTCCGCGGCCACCTTTATCACTAGGAGCGCCATTCACAATGACGCGTTCGTACCGCTCTTGATTGTGCTTCTTTCTGTTGCCGCGCCGTTTGATTAATGCGTTTACCTCCGCTCCTCAGAATATATTCTTCTCTGTTCTCGTCTGTTCACGGTGTGCCTTCGACTTTGCGGCCTTAGCTCACCGGTCAAAAGGAGAAAGAGAGGAACGGCGGAGGTTCGCGGAGGCTTTGTCCTCCTAGAAGTTTCATTCCCGGAAACTTTCGCTGCTACTGAGACGCTCCGTCAGTATCCTTTTCTTTGCGCATGCGTCCCCTCTTTTTCCCCATATTTTTCCGCTCGCTCTTTCTTTCCTTCTTTCTTCCTTCCTTCCTTTCCTTCTTTCCTTCCTTCCTTCCTTCCTTCCT